TATGAAGGATTTGGTTATTATCCCCCCCTCCCCTGGCAGGACACTTAGGCACAGAGAGATTAAGATACTTGCCCGAGGCCACACAGCAAAAAGGTTGGGACTCCAGCTCCTTGTCCGTGGAGCATCACCAGGAGAGAAAGATGGAAAAGGAGAATGATGCTGTGACCCTACCCCAACCCCACAACCTTCAGGGAGTCTCGGCTTCCGTGACAGCACCCCAAAACTCAGCCCACGGTGGGGAGGGGCCCGATCTCCCAGGAGATAGCCCTTGCATTGAGCCAGCTCAAAGTCCACATTCAGGAGCAGCAAAGCAAGACTACAGGGGGAGGGTTGATCTGCCCCGGGTCATGCAAGGATTTGCATGGTTCCTCCACAGCTTCCGGAGATAAGCCTCAGACCAGAGAAAAGGGGGTTGGGTAGGATGTGCTCCCCCGCACCCATGTGACGGAAGAGCCAGGAGCTCCCTGTTCCACATGACTCCTATGGATTCATTAAAGCAGGATCTCAAATAAATGGTCTTGGAGGTAGGAGCGTGGGAGAAGGAGCTGGCTTCTTCGATGCAATGCAGAGACCAATAGAAATCAGACAGAGGTAGGAAGAGAAATCAAGCAATGGGTAAGACAGATTTCTGAGATGGAGACTGGACAGAGATATGAGATAGTGGAGGTCTTGGGGGGAGGTGGGGAGTGCCTTGTCCAGGGGTGCTTCCAAACTTGAGAAGAATCATCATGTGGGTCCCAAGCTTGGGAGCAAGTTTGGGAAGGATGGGAAGACCATGTAATGCTCAAGGAGCCCCCTGCCTTGAGGTAGATGGGGCAGTTCCCAAGCCCCCTTCATTCAGGGACGCTATTCTGAATCCCAGATGGAGTCATCTTGCTAACCCCAAGCCCAGCTCATGGCTTATCGGCTGTGGAAGGGGCATTGGGGAATCTCTGGGGGGCTGCCTGGAGGAGGCGGCAGGAGCCTTCACATGGAGCTCTGCATTCTTTCATGGTTTGAGGACCCCTCTTTCTCCTCTAGCTCGGGCCCCAAATTGCTCTCCTTTCTTCTCCTCCTTTGTCTCTTCTTCCTTCTCTTCGTTGCTGTGGAAACAGGAAGGACCCAGAAATAACATTAATAATCAGATTTCATAAGAACTGACAGTGGTCCAGGCCATTTACAATTCTGTCTCTGAGTCCTGCACCCTTGTGCCCATTTTACAGAAGAGGATGCTGGGACTCAGATGGGTTAATACACTTGCCCCAAGGTGACCAGGAAGGAAGTGGTGGAGCCTAAACTGGAGCTACATGAGCCAAACCCGTGTTCTTTACCTGGAGCCTCTCTGGCTTCCTGGATCTCAAAGCAGTGTGGATGCATGGATGGGCAGAGAGACAGGTGAATGGCTATACCGAGGGCTGGATAGGTTAGTGAGTGGATGGGTGGGTAGGTGAACAGATGTGTGTGTGGACAAAAAGTAGAAAAGTGGATGGATGGATGGATGGATGCAACGATGGGTGGGTGGCTGGCTGGATGGATGGACAGGTGAGTGAGTGGATGGATTGTTGAATGTATGGATGGATGAGTGGGCGAGTTGGAAAAATAGACGTAGGGTTGGATAGGTGGATGGAGGGGTGGATGAATGGGTGGATTAGTAGATGAATGGATGGATTAATGGATAGAGGGATGGATGGACGGACGGACGGACGGGTGGATGGATGGATGGATGGATGGACAGACGGACGGACGGACAGATGGGTGGATGGATGGATGGATGGGCGGGTGGATTAGTAGATGAATGGATGGATTAATGGATAGAGGGAGGGATGGATGGATGGATGGATGGACAGATGGACGGGTGGACGGAGGAATGGATGGATGGATGGGTGGGTGGGTGGATTAGTAGATGAATGGATGGATTAATGGATGGAGAGATGGACGGAGAGATGGACGGATGGACGAATGGACAAATGGACGGATGGACAGATGAACGGATGGGTGGATGGATGGATGGATGGATGGGTGGATGGGTGGGTGGATTAGTAGATGAATGGATGGATTAATGGATGGAGAGATGGACGGAGAGATGGACGGATGGACGGATGGATGAATGGATGGATAGATGGATGGGTGGGTGGATTAGTAGATGAATGGATGGATTAATGGATAGAGGGCTGGATGGATGGTTGGATGGATGGACAGACGGACGGGTGGATGGATGGATGGATGGGTGGGTGGGTGCGTGGATTAGTAGATGAATGGATGGATTAATGGATGGAGAGATGGACGGAGAGATGGACGGATGGACAGATGGACAGATGGGTGGGTGGATGGATGGATGGATGGATGGATGGATGGATGGATGGATGGATGAATGGGTGGATTAGTAAATGGATGGATGGATTGATGGACGGATGGGTGGCTTAGTGGGAGGATGGGTAGACGGGTGGGTGGATGGATGGATGTGAATAGGTAGATGGATAACTGAATGGGAGGGAGAGTGACGGGATGATTAAGTCCTTGCAGACCGCATTTGAAAGACATATTAGCAACGGGGCTCTCTTTGAGGGAACCACCCTCGCCCTTGCAGGTTGGTGGTAGGAAGGGAAGTCAGTGAGGCCATGTGAGGCCCCCACGGATTCTGAATCAAAGAAGAATTACTCCGTGGCCCTGCCTCTCACCCCACAGGCCCAGGAAGCCACCGGCAGGAAGGGTGGGGGCTCAGAAAGGAAAGGGGAGGGATGAGGCAGGGGAGGCGGGGGGAGTCCACACAGGGGAGGAGCTCCGCGAGGGGAGGGGCTTGGAGGGGGTGGGGCTCAGAGAGAGGAGGGGGCTCAAAGAAAGGGGGGCTCAGTGAGAGGAAGGGATCAGACAGGGGCGGGGCTATGAGAGGGGAGGGCGCAGACAGGGCTGCAGACCCACCTGTCAGTGGACTCCCTGCACCAGATGGCGTAGACCACGATGAGGACAAAGATGAGGAAGAGGAGGGCCAGCGCAGCGCTGAGACCCACCAGCCACAGCTTCCGCTGGGCCACTGGGGAGGGAGCAGGGCCGGGTCAGTGGCCTGGGCCGTGACGTGGGAACCCTCTTTCCCCTCCCCCGCCCCCAGTCGGTACCGGACTGGGCCTCAGCCGGCTGCAGGACGAGAGGCGCCAGAAGGGAGAGTTGGCTGGGGGTCTTCCAGACGCCGTCCATCCTGGGCCGTCTGTCCTCGTCCTCGCGGCCAGAGGAGGAAGTGGCCTGCCCAGGGCACCCCAGAACAGGGTGTAGCCGCTGCCGGAGGAAGTGAGGGGTGGGTTCCCCTTGCCTGGGTTCCGGGTAACCTAGGGAGGGGCCCAGGGGGCCCCAGCATCCGAGCGTCCAGTCTCTCTAAGACCCACCCCTGACCCCCTCACTCCCCACAGCCAGAGCCATGGGTTGGGGGGCGGGAGCCTCAAGCCCTGAGAGAAAGAGGTTCATTTACTGAGTACCTACTGCGTGTCAGTCCTTGCAAGGGCCGGGCGCCTTCTTCAAGCCCCACATAAATTTCGGGTACTCACAGCTCTTTGCAGGAACCAACTCACAGAGAGATGGAGCCACGTTCCCAGGGCTACACAGCATCCCGGAGGAACACAGCTTTCGGGCTCCCCCACCCTAAACCCTCTCCCGTCGTATAATATGAACCTCCAAACTTGACCTCAGCCTAACCCACCAACACCCGTGTCCTCGGACAGCTGCAGGGGTCCAATCGCAGTTCATCCAACAACACTCAGAGAGATCTAGCCTGGTACCTTCCCTTGCTCTCTCTAAGCCTCAGCATTGTCAGCTGGAAATAGGATTAATTAGGTGGTGCTGGAGATGAGAGAACGAAGACATTAGGGGCTCAGTGGGGCGCTTCTGTTGGGCCATTGTTATAGATGGGATTCATTTTGCGGTTTTTCCGCCCCCTGGTGGATGATTCCGGAAGTGTTTGGGCTGAGGCTCCCTGCCTTCGGAGCTGGGTCTTACCAGAACCCCAGCTTTTGTTCTTGTTCTTGTTTAGTTGCCGTCAAGCCGTAGTGCGACTCCTGGCGACCCTGTGTGTGCAGAGTAGAACTGCTCCAAAGGATTTTCAAGGCTGTGAACTTTCAGAAGCAGATTGCCAGGCCTGTCTTCTGAGGCACCTCTGGGAGGGTTAGAACTGCCAACCTTTCAGCGAGTAGTCGAGCGCCTAACCGAGTGTGCCACCCAGGGACTCTGAACCCCAGCTACCAGCCCCAAGGTCCAGACTTTATCTAGGTCCTCGTGTGGGACAAGGTCCAGGGCCTGGAGAAAGTGAGGGGACAGGGAAGCAGAACCTGGGATGAGAAAGTTCCCCCAGGCACCCCACCCCACCCCAAGACCTGGTTTGCAGAAAGTCACGTGCCCTGAAACACAGGGTGGGGGGGCAAGGATTTCCCAGGAGACGGTGCTCAGGGCTCAAAGTCCAGGGCAGCTGGACTCAGGACGACACTAACAGGGGAGGGAGTGTTGAACCTGCCCCAGGCATCTGGGCGCTCAAGGAGGTCCACCCCTGCCCAGGCATTGCCCCTACCCCCAAAGACAGTCTCCTCCAGGGAGAAACTGCGTCCCGAGAGACCACAGAGGCTTTCTAAATGGCTCCAATTGATTCTTTAATGCTAGCTGCAAGTGGCAGCACTTGGCCAGCAGACTCCAGGCAGGGGAAAAGACATCAGGCAGTAGTCACAGCGGTGAAGCCATGAGATTGTGGGGGCCTGGGGATTTCGCTTTATCCAGCCACGTTCTCCAAGGCAAGAAGAATCATCAGATGAGGCCCCAGGTCAGGGGCACGACTGGGAAGCGGGGTGGGGAGAGACCACGTAATGGCCAGAGACGCTTCGTGAGAAGGACGGGGGAGGTTCTGAGCCCTCTTCATTTAGGGACACTATTCTGAATCCCAGATGGAGTCATTTCAATGGCCTCAGGTCCAAGTTGTTGCTTATAGGGTGTGAAAGGGACATCGGGACATCTCTGGGGAGCTGCCTGGAGGAGGCGGCACAGAGTCTTCACATGGCCGTGTTCTTTCCTTCCACCTGGTCTGGGGGCTCCTCTTTCTCCTCCAGCTCCAGCCCCAAGTTGCTCTCTCCCTTCTCTGCATGTTTATTCTTTTTCTCCTTCTTTCTCTTCTCCTTCTTATCTTTTTTGCTGTAGGAATGCAAAGGCCCCAGATCAGAATAAGAAAGAGGATCACTCCCTTTTAATGGACACGTAAACCTGTGCCAAGTCTTTGTGATGAGTGTCTTACCATCAGTGTCTGCCCTGGGCATCTGGGCATCATGGCGCATTTAATCCTCAAAACAGCCCTAAATGGGCAGCCTTATTAATTCCAGTCTACGAAGACAGAAACTATGGCTCAATTGCTTCATCTGGGGGAATGAGTGGATGGATGGAGGCATGGACGGATGGATGGATGGATGGATGGATGGATGGATGGATGGATGGATGGATGGATGGA